GGCAAGCCACGGTTGCTAATCATTTCCCGCAAGAACTCGCGGCGGTTCCTCAATGAGCGGGAGATGGCGCAGGCCGCTGCCGCTGTGGGCTTCGAGGTGCGCATTGCCGAGCCCGATCAGCACACCGACATGTCCACATTCGCCCAGCTCGTCAATTCCGCCGATGTCATGATCGGTGTCCATGGTGCTGGGCTCACCAACATGGTGTTCCTCCCCCGCGGCGCCGTCCTCATCCAGGTGGTGCCATTCGGCGGCCTAGAGTGGCTCACCACTGTCACCTTCAAGAATCCGGCGAAAGACATGGAGGTCACCTACATGGATTACAATGTGCAGCTGGAGGAGAGCTCGCTGATCGATCAGTACCCGCGCAATCACCAGGTGCTCACTGATCCCTACGCCGTGCACAAGCAAGGCTGGGACGCGCTCAAGACGGCGTACCTGGACAAGCAGAACATCAAGATGGACATGGACAGGTTCAAGAAGACATTGCAGGAGGCGCTCGACAGGTTGCCGCCAGCATGAGAGCTTGATGAACTGATGAAAGCTCAAGCCCACGAGGTGGTGGTGGTGGTGGTGGTAGATAGATAGGTTGGTGTATCTATCTGTGCCTTCTCTTGCTTAACTTATTTTTCCTTTTGAAATTCTTTTTACGCCTTCTTCTTCCTTTAGCAACATTCATTTGATCTGTTGTTTTGGAAAAGAAAAAAAGAGGATGAACAAGAACATCATGTTACATATGCCTAGCTGATGAGTAATTTATACCCTTTGTGATTATTAATTGGTTGTTTATTTACAAGTAAATGTCAAGATACAAAATTGTGGATTACTAGTAAGTATCAAATGTGAGTGTACCTCCCTCTAATGCCAGGGGGGCAAACTGTATTCTCCTATGCCTTCTTCATTGTATCAATTCAATTCATTTCATCCAGTACATTGCCTCTACCAAACCATGCCAAAATTGACCTTTCCTCTGCAAATGAACCACGATTTTCAACATATAAACGAACTACATTTGATCTTCCATTGTCTCATTAGTCATTGCACAACAAATTAGTAGAGTGATCAGTCATTGATGCTAGAACAGTGGATCAAAGGTTCCATGTTCAGTTTGGCAGATGATTAGTGCCATAATTGGGGGATAAATAGGCCATGAACAGGACCAGGATTCTCCCTGGATTCAACTAACACAATGAGAATGAAATGGACCACCATTGGCCATTGCCTACCACAACTACCTGTCATGGTGGCATTGCATAAGCAATGGAAATATTTCAACTTTGTCAGTTCCTTTCTCTTGTGAATCCTTTGGTTTGGGAAGAGATGAGCTTCCTTCCTGCTCTGACCGGATCACAGCAAGCCAAATTCATAGTCTGATTGGCATGATGATATATCAGAAAAAGAGAGAATTTTTTGGCCAACGAAGGTTTGGCTGATCTGCTCGGCCTTAGTCAAATCTGTCTCTTTCGACGAACTGCGTTGCGTTGCTAATTTGTCACTGATGACAACTACTTCTACCTGCCATCTCATATGTGAGCCTGTCAGAAACATGGAGTGATATGCTAGTAGGAACACTAGAAGCTTCCTTCTGTTTCCTGTAGGGAAGAACTGAAGAATGGTCAGCACATCGTCGACCGTCGGATCTTGATCAGATGGTATCCGCGACGCGGGACCCAGCCATCAGTGGTTGGGACTAGGAATTTTGCCCAATTGCAATTTGGCATGATGAATGTGTTGTCCTTTGTGAAATTTTCTAAAGGCAAGCAGGGTTTGTACTTGTGTGAGATGTGAAATTGATTGGGTAATAATTGACTTGTTCATGGATGATTGAGTTTTAATGGGAGAGTGATTGCAGGATGAATTACAAGTTATCGGTCATATGTGATGGTAGGTAAATTGACAGGGACAACACAAGCTGAAGCTGAAGAAAGAAGAAGAGAACTTGTTCAGGTCAGCAACTAGCTTGTACTTGACACTGAATTATGAATGTGCTGGAGCTTGCTGATGGCTAAGGTGATGGCATTGTGAAATTAACCAGCTGGCCAGTTGATTTGCAGCTGAAATAATCAATCTCTCTCGTCAGCATTTGTTGCTTGTAAGCAAAAATCAACCACCGACAAACAATATGGAGGCACTGTTCTTGCAAAATCCTTTTGGCACAGGCCGGGCTTTGGAGCTTACCCTTGGCCGGTTTTGAATCAACATGAATTCCAGTCGAATTTATTCGGAATTGGATTAGTTAGTTCCGACGTTTTTTTTTTATAAAAGGAATCGAGTAGAATTCAGATAGCCATCCTATATTGATTCTCGGGATAATGGAGCCATGGACTATACTCCCTTCCTGTCAAAATAAATTCACTCTTATACACAAATCTGATTAGATTCGTACATAAGAGTTGATTTATTTTAGTACATAAAGGATTTCCTTTTGAATGTGTGAACCATTTGTCGGTGTCTGCTTGAGTACGAATAGTGAGTGGCTCATCATACTCAAGCACGATGACCTCTTAAACAAAAGAGCACGACGAGACGATGCTTGGGATGGCGTTGAATTGATGAATTATACATCCGGAATGGAAATGCCGTCGTCGGAGAAGCACACGAAAGATGACATCAGCATTCCCGGCCGGTTTCCGCCGCCGCCGTCTCGCCGGCGGCAAGCCGTCGTCCGTCCATACGCCACCAACCTCAATGACTCGCCGTCGTCAATCCATCGCGTCGCTTTCACAACCCAACCAGTCCAAAAAATCCAAATGTCCAGAACTGTACGGCCGCGTTAAGGCAGAAACGGATGATTAGCCACACATACAACGAAAGATATGATTAGCATATAATTAATTGTGTACTCCTATTAATTATTAAAAAGTAAAAAAAATAAGTTTATTTTTAAGCGATTTTTTATATAGATAAAACTTGCACAAAATGTATAAAATATATCATTTAGTAATCCCTTCGATCCAAAAGAATCAATCCAGATTCATAGCCAGAGTTTAATTCTTTTTAAAATGAGTGAAGTAATTTAAAAAACATGCTAATGAAAATTGAGGAAGTAGTCAATCCGATCTTCACTGTAAAACGGGGCCTACTGGTTAGGCAACTACCCACCACCATCATCCATCCAGGACTGCAATTTCTCAAATTTTCCCACGTAATTTATTTAAAGACCATAGAAAAGTTTGTTTAAAGAAGTTTAGTAAGTACTGTTTAGTAATGTTGATGAAGAGAGTTTTTGCAAAAAATGAGCTTTGTAAGGGTGATAACGGTAATCCGTAATCTGACAGCTAAAAGTAACACATCCTTATCAGAGAAATTAAAGATGTTTTCTTTTGTTTGGTCAAGATGAAGTTTCGTTAGATGAAAAAGGAGGCAGCATGCAACACAAGTTGAAAGTTCATCCGAGGAATCAAGCCAAATAAATAAATAAAATAAAATAAAAGCATCAAAGCAAAGTGAAAACTGATGCGTGACTTGTGAACTGATCAAGGCAGGAGCCCAAGGAGGAAAGGGAAGACACAAGGAAGTGCAGCCAGGGTGGTTCGACTTCAACTGGTTTCCATATCCCAGGACAATGACCAGGCAACAACCTAACCATGCTATCCAGCTAATTACTCCCTCTGTCTTAAAATATAAGAAGTTTTAGAGTTGAATACGATTATTAAGAAAAGTAGGTATAAATGAGTGGTGGAGGATTGTGATTGGATAAATAGTGGAGGTAGATGAGAAAAGTGAATGATGTAGGGTTGTGATTGGTTGGAAAGAGAATGCTAGTGAAAAAGTTGTTATATTTTGAGACAAATTCTGATGGCTAAAAATTGTTATATTTTGGGACGGAGGGAGTATTTCCTTCTTGCTATTTCCATTTTTCCTTTTTCGCGCATACATCATCACACATGCACACACATCCGTTTACACACGCTCAATAGAATAACTTTAATAACAAAATTATTGATCCACTTGATTTTATAGAAAAACATGTATCCATAACTCAGTGGAGTCGTATATCTAGGAGAATGATTCTCTAACCTCATACAAAGTCTGAGAAATCTCATTCACCCTCTCTGCTCTCTCCTCGCTCCCAATAGAGGTCTTTTTTTTTTTGGGGGGGGGGGTGTTGTCTAGATATACCCATAACTCCCTTTATCGCACATATAAGAGATGTATCTCTCGTTCCAAGAATATATTTTCTATAATTTATGATTTCCCATTCTTGTATATAATAACAAAGACAAGTTATGTCAATAAATATGCATATACCATGGATAAATTAAGCTATATCTGTATGCATCCCATGAATAAAACAACCCATATTTGTACCTCATAATACCTCCAACACAACTATTATCACAAAAGACATGCCAATGTGATGGCTTATTATACCCAATAATTTTGTGATGGCATGTTAAGAATTAAGATTCCATCCATCCATCCATCCATCCATCCATCAAAATCAATGAGTCGGTTCGTTGGTAGATGGTGATCTAATGACAAGCCCCATACTACCGACCACCTCTGCGTCCTCATATGCCTAACAACTGATGATGCTTCGAATTGGTTATGGCTAAAGATGACCAATGGCATAGCATGGACCGTTCTTTTTGCATCCTATGGATTCTGGAGACGATGACACTCACAATACCAAATACCAAATGCAGGTTAACCATATTAAACTACGCTTATTGCGACGTGCAAACAACTCTGGTTGCATCAGCAGTTTTGCCCCTACTGCTTGGAACACATATGGTTCTTGCAGGGTTAAGAATTATAATACAAAGGAATATACTGCTTTTAAAGATTGTTGAAATTTATGTTTGAACCTGATAAACATTTGTCATTTTCATAGAGATTTCTACATTTGAAACACAAGAAAAAAAAAGCCTTGTGCTTTCATGCTTCCAGCACACGAAGAACATCATTCAGATTACTCCCTTGATTTCACCACTTTTGTAATGCTTTTGCTATCTATGCGTACATGACAAACACAACCTTGCAAATCAAAGCAGACAAAAGCAACGATCAGAAGCTGCAAAGCAGCTAGTGATAGGGAGCTGGATGGCTGCCTTTTATTATTCTCTAGAATCAATTCTATTAGTAGTACTGTTCTTATTAAAAGAAAAAAGAGGCTCCAGCCACACGATTTTTAGGACCAGCTAGCTAGCATCAAGAATTAAATTACAATGATCTAGGGATGGCATCAGTCAGATACTGATATCAGTGCTGAAACAGCTCCCAAGTTAGAAAGTTTCAAGTAAATGGATTCTACACAAACAGCAACGGCGTTTCACATAAGCTCAGGAAAGTTCCTCCGTTCAAAAGCATCGGATAAGCACAGTACAAATCTCCCATCAATTCAGTAAAAACCGTACTAGTTTTCAGTTTATCAGCATCTCCTTTATCAATTCTGTAACCTTGGGAGAGTACGTCTCCTCCAAAACTCATCTATTTGCAATATCTGCAGTTCCCATTTACAGAAGGAACCCAACAGATCATTCTCTTTTTATTATTTTCGCGCCTTATTTAGAGAGGATCTTCTCAGGCAGATTTAAGCTCCATATTTAGGAGCTTTCCAGAGCTTAAATGCCACCTCATGTAGAAAGCGTTCAGCAAGCATAGCAAGATTTCCACCACGCTGTTGATTAAATAGCAGAATGAAATTAGTTATACAGTTATACTCCTCCGAGACAACCATATTAAACGGAATAAATTAATATGTAACAAAACAAATATAAGCTATTTGGCTAAGTTAAACACATATGAATCACAATATGGGTTGAACTTGGAAGCTTAGGATCTAAATAATGGCCAGACAGATGAAAGAAAAAAAATGCTATTGAATTGTAAGGCCACAACAGTGGCACAGTCAAGGCCCTGCCAGTTATATGCAGTGTTTCTGCAGAAGCTATCTAGAAGAATTAAAACTACTGCACTGTATTCTTGCGAAGCATATTCATTCAGGTAGCACCATTCTTGTATAATTCATGAATACCAAATTTGATCATATATCCCACGTTTAGATTGAAATTGAGGATTTACCCTCCCACATGTCAGTGACCTTAGATGACCCCCACATGTCATTGGCACAGGAGGGTAAATCCTCAATTTTTGATCTAAATTCTAAATGGAGGGTAAATATAAATGACATGCTTGAATGGATTTATAATCTTATACTACTAGTTTTGCATGGGGGACAAATGCCAAAAAGGTACGCAGATGATCATCCCAGCAGCTTTTGACAGTATGTCGTGAAACAAAGAATTACCGTGTAGTGCTGTGGCGTGCACTGCACAACTGCACATTAACTCAAGCTTTTGGGTATGGCTTTCGCCGAAAGGAAAAAAAGGACAGTTACACAACAAAGCTAATTATACCTATGGAACAGCTTGCACACTTATCTTACACAACAACATGTGATGTCACACAAAAACTACCACCAAGATGAAGATATAACTCTTCACTACATGACATGCCTTTTTGCTAACCAAAGGATGCAGCAGTGTGTATAATATGACAGAAATAATTTACTATGTAATGCAGCAGTGTGTAGTAGCTAATTTTAACACAGCAGCAATTTTTTTTGAACAAACTGGCATCCTCTTTTTAATAATTCTATAAGAAACCAAGACAAAATGGGAGAACTCAAGTGCTTTGAATTGTAAACAACTCAAAAGGCAAATTCATAAGCAGGATCATGAGAAAATGATACAAATGAAGTATTTACTAAGTATTTCACATTTTCACTATTTGAATTTTCAGATCGAGGTTATAACAAGTTGATTATACAAACCTTTATGAATTCCTCAAAAGAGAACCCTTCGGTCAAATCAGAGCGTGTAACTCCTTCCTGCCACTGTGCTAACAGAATCGGATGATGATTCCTGAAGAACATGTATGATAGTAATATTGGTGTTAGTCAGGGTTTGCTATTATAAAGAATTGGCAGACACACTTTTAACGACCACATTATGTCATGGTTAAGTGTTGGCAGATACTAAATCAACTTATCTGGACTGATGGCTCAATGTATTAGATTGGGTTTGAGAAAAAAAAACATTTCAAACTTGATTTCATAAAAACCAAAAGGTGAAAAGGTGGTTGTAAGCTGCTAGCTTTCAAGTATAAAGTACCTAAGGAAAAATATGATATGGCTCTTGGAAGTCATGTAAGCCACTGCACTCCATTATATGCAGCGAAAGATCAACAGTAATTACATTTGGAAGACCGTGAAACTATTCACCTTACATATATAGCAGACAAAATCTAATGGAATTCTTATTATGTGTAACATAAATATGATTACTACAGACAAAACATGCTCTACTTGGAAATAACTTTTTGGATTTCATTTGCAGCAAAGAACAACACCTACCTAACATCATCCAATGTATTTCCTGCTTTCATAGTATAGCTCTGGCGTGGGCGAAGCAAGTTCAAGTCAGAATCTATTTCAGTCGAAGATTTTGAGATGGAAAACTCATCCTTATTTTCAGCAGCAGACCCATAGCTCAACATCACAGATACAAGAATACGGGAGGCGATAGCTGAACTTATGGGCGCCGCTTCCATGATTGCACCAACTAATTTATCAAGCCGATTTAGATCAGTCTTCATTCCCAATTTTCCCAACTTGCTGTTTGTATTCTCCATGGCAACATGCAGAAACACCAGATCAAATTCAGATGTCTCCTGAACATTCCCCTCTGAAAATCCAAGCAGACTTAACGCCTGGGAAATAATTCCAGCCTCCTTAGAAGCAGCGGAAGATCCAGATTGTGCAACTAAATCTTCAGTCCCGGATACATGAAAACCAAGATTTGCTGCAAAAGAACTAACAAGGGGGCAATTGGTGACCATGGCAGCTCTGATCCCCATAAACCTGACATTCCAAATACCACATGAAAGCTAGTTAGACCTAATTCATGAACAATGTAACAGAAAACAAAGCAAAAATCACACACATCCAACCTCTCAGATAGCTTGGGAACTGCTAGTTGCAGTGGATCCACCTGGGCAGTCTCTTGACCAGTTTTCTCAGTCTATCACGCAAAAATTACAATCAGCACTACCTACTCTAAATTCTCGCACAATCAACCCTCCTAAGTGCGAACCGGTGGAAGCAAGATCTCACCTTAGCAGGGAAGAGATCATCGTACACGTCGAGCAGCTGCGCGAGCTCAAGAATCGTGCTGTCACGCTTCTCCTCCCCACCTACAACGACCAAAACAAGGAAAATCTCCATTCGGTCAGAGCAGCGAGTAGAATCACAGAGAGAGACGACGCAGAAGAGAGAATCGCTGGATCAGTAGTACCCACTCGCGAGAGGGGGCGAGCGGAGGGAGAGGAAGCCACATGACGCGAGAGACGCGAAGGCGTCGAGGTGGCTCCCTCCCCCTCCTCCTCCGGCTCCGCCGCCGCCGCCGCTCGCCGGAGGGAGCAGCGCCGCGTGCCCCGCGGCGTAGAGCACCAGCCCGCGGCTCGGCTTGTCCGCCATTGCTGCACCTCCCCTTTCCTCCTCTCCCCCCTCCTCTGCTTTATTCGGTGGGCCCCAGACGTCAGCCTCACCCCCACGTGTCAACCTCCCGACCCCACGTGTCATCGAGATCACTATACTAGCCCGGCATGTGGGCCTAACTGGGCCGGCCTGGCACATGGGCTGAATTGGGCCGCATAGGTGGGTCGCTTCTTGGGCCTCTGGTTCCTCGACTATACGTATACAAAAGAAAAAAAAAAGAAGAGAAAGAGAGGGAGAGGAGAAACCCTAGGCTTGGTTGGCTCCAAGCTTCGCAGCCATCGCCGCCTCGGCATAAACCCTTCTACTCCGCAGCCATCGCCGCCTCGAGCTGAGCTTGAGATTCGCGGGGGGCGCAGCAATGGCCGGGAAGAAGAGGCCGCCGACCGCGCTCTCCGAGCCCGAAGCCGCCGCCGCCGCCGAGGAGGAGGAGGCCGCAGCCAAGACGGCCCCGGCTGCGGAGGCGCCAGCGAAGAAGAAGAAGCTGGCCATGGAGCGGAAGAAGCAGCGGAAGGAGATTGACAAGGAGAGGCACCGCCAGTCCGCTGAATCGGACGCCGCTGCCGCTAAGCCGAAGCAGCCGGCGGAGGTGGCGCCGGAGGCTGCGGCTGCGGCTGCGGCGGCGCCCGTGGCTCCTCCGCCTGTGATTCCGGTGGTGTCGGGGCCTGGGCTTCACATGAACGTGTTCAGGGACCTGGCTTCGCCTGAGGCGTCGCAGAGGGAGGCCGCGGCGGAGGCGCTCGTGGCGGAGCTCAGGCAGGTGCAGGTGGCGCACGAGAAGGGTGGGCGGAAGGAGGGGGAGAGCGAAGCGGAGGGTGGAGATGGGTCGTCGAGGATGGAGGCCGAGAAGGACGATGGCCTGGAGAACTGCGCGCCGTCGGTGCGTTACGCCATTCGGCGGCTCATTCGCGGTATCTCTTCTTCTAGAGAGGTTAGAGATGCTTTTCCAATTCCATGACGAAGTTTAGCTTTGTGTATTGCATTGGTCATCCGCTACAGTTAGATCGTATCTTATGCTTGGGAACTTGGTTTGCAGTTTGCAAGGCAAGGATTCGCATTGGGTCTTGCAGTTGTGCTCGAATCAATTCATGCAATCAGCGTCGAAGCAATCATGAAGTTGATACCTAATTTGTTAGAGTATTCAGCTTCAATGAGGGGACCGGTAATTATGATGATTAGTTACTGCTGATTTTTTCTGCCTATTGTGATGTTAATTTGTTTACTCATTTTTTTTCATTTTTCTTTTGTAGGAAGCTAAGGACAATCTTTTGGGACGATTATTTGGTTATGGATCAATTGTTAGGTCTGGACGGGTCTCGGGACAGTGGGCACATGAAGAAGGTTCTCCCATTGTCAAGGATTTTGTGGATGAGGTTATCAAACTTGGTAGCAAGAAACGATATTTAACTGAGCCCGCTGTTGCCGTTATCCTGGATTTAGCTGGAAAGGTACGCGCCTCAGGCACATACTGCACTTTTTATGACTATGCTTTTTATGCGTGTAATCTAATTAGGGACATTAAAATTTAGTTGAAGGTCTATCGCATAAGAGGTTATCATTGGCATCCAAATACATTTAAAATTGTTACAGAAAAATGACCAGCAAAAAGGACAATCTTAAATTAAATTTCTCAAAAGGTGTAACAAAGCAACCATTTTCATACCACCTGAAAACATTTTTTATGAAAACTTTGGTGTTTCAGTTTGCATGTTGTACTTGGCTTCTGTTTAATAGATAAGATATCCCCCTGACATCAATGGTACTGCCTTTTGGTTTGAAATCGACCTGTGATTATGGCAACTTTCACTCTTATTTTGTATCAATTATGTTGAAAATCACACCTTGTGATGCACATAAGTTTGGTTTTGGAGTGGATATGTTATTTCCTCAGTTGTCAGTTGTACCATATTTGGCCAGTGACTTGATTCAACATTTGCTGAATCTTTCTACATATTGCAGCTGCCAGAGGAAGCTATAATATCTGAGATTCTGGAAGCTCCCAGTGTGCAAGATTGGTTCAACAGAGCTGCTGATGCTGGAGATCCGGATGCACTCTATCTGGCTTTGAAGTTGCAAGAGAAAACAAATGCCCAGGAGATATTTGGGAAGCTTCTGCCATATCCATTCAGTCCAGAGGGTTTTTTTGCAGAAGAACATCTTCTTTCAATTGCTGCTTGTTTCAAGGTAATTTGTTTTAGTAATTAATGGTTCAGGAGTAACATTGCCAAAATCTAACATAGCATAGCTCAATATAACCAAGATGTATTTGATAAATATAATTCATTTTGTTATATCAAATTTCTATATGCTCTATGCCATTCCTTTCCTTATCTTTTGATTGGTCTTCTATAAATCTTTCAGGAATCCACATTTTGTCTTCCACGCATTCATAGTTTGTGGCTTGTTATCACGGACATGCTTGTTCGAGAGGCAGCTTCACAGAGTGATATTGCCACAAGCTCAAGCAAGAAGCACAAAAAGAATAAGAAAGGCAGCTCCTCTGAGGATACAAAAAAGAATCTACATACTTTCTGTGAGGTTATAATTGAAGGAACATTGCTGCTATCATCTCATGATAGGAAGCATTTGGCATTTAATATTCTTCTTAATCTCCTTCCAAGGCTATCCCCATCTTCGATTCAAGTAATTCTGTCCAGCAAGGTTGTTCATGGTTTGATGGATGTTCTGTCAAATGAATCGTCATGGTTGCACAATGCCGGCCAACATTTTCTGAAGGAGTTAGTAAGTTTAGTGAGTGATGATAATGATCGACGTGTTGCTGTTATTACTAACTTGCAGAAGTATACTGGTGGAAGATTTGACTGCATGACAAAAACGAGAACTGTTAAAGATTTGGTTGCCAAGTTCCGAAGTGGTCAAGATTGTTTGTGTCTTGTGCAGAGTTTGATGTCACTCTTTGTAGATGAAAGCTCTGTTACAGACGAACCATCTGATCAAAGTCAGACAACTGATGAGAATTCGGAAGTTGGTTCAATGGAAGATAAGGACCTTTTTGGCCAAGGGAGTGCTGACCTTTTGAAAAGTTGGATAGTGACTACAATTCCTTGTGTTTTAAAAAATCTGAAGCTGACATCTAAAGGGAATTCACTGACAGATTCTGAAATGGTTAAGTGCATTGAAGAAAAATTTCTAGTGCAGACTGAGGTATTGAAATTCCTTGCAGTTCAAGGTCTTTTTTCAGCGTCTTTGGGATATGAGGTGACATCATTTGAGCTGCACGAGAAGTTCAAATGGCCAAAGCCAGCTATATCAACATCAATACGCAATGAATGCATTGAACAACTTCAATTCTTAATAGAAGATGCACAAAAGGATGAAGCTTTACACGTTAGTGAGGTTAAGTCTAATGACCTGGGCTTCTACTTCATGCGCTTCATTAACACCCTTTGCAACATTCCCTCAGTTTCACTCTTCCGGACCTTGAGCAGCAACGACGACAATGCATTCAAGAAGTTACTGGATGTAGAATCTCTGCTTTTCTATGAGGTTTGTAACTTTGCTATTATTCAACCTAACATATTATAGTTAACTCATTCTGTGGTGTAACATTTTAAAATTTTAATTTGACCTACAAGGATGGCCTCACTGTTCCTGTTTCCGGTATTGAAACTATCCCTGACTGTATTTATCTGGTTTTAAATTGATGACTTTTGAACACCCTAGGAATCATAAAACGGTGTCAGTGTTTATTTTAAAAATAAATCAGAGGTCCCAACAACTGAGAGTGTGCACTAAGGACTTTCCTTAAAAATCTAGTCTCTTGAATATGGATCGCCTCTTTTGATGCAGTACGGCTTACTTGTGGCAATGGTGATTTCTTTTGGCCGTTCTAGATTTAATCTTGTTGGAATAAGGAGTTCAAAAGTATAGAAGCAGGGATTTAGTTTGAATAATGGTTCTGTTCATTTTCCTGGATATTTCATATAGTTCCTTTTTTTTTCCCATCATCTAATGTCTGTGGTTCCCTTGTGAATAGGAAAGAAAAGTTGGCCCTGGCTTGGATTCGACTAAAATGCATGCGATGCGTTATCTCCTTATTCAGTTGCTCCTCCAAGTTCTTCTCCATCCAGATGAGTACTGGGAGGCAGCAATTGATGTGACTATATGCTGCAAGAAATCGTTCCCTTCCATCGTTCAGAATGACAAATCCAGTGGACAGCCATCTAATGAGGGTGCGGAGGTGTTTAATGAGGATGGGCCAGGCAAATCTAACAAGGATGGGCCGGAAGAGCATAATGATGATGCGTCAGAGGATTCTAATGAGGACGGGCCACTAGAGTTTATGGATGTACTTGTCCAGACTTTTCTTTCTGTTTTGCCCCATGTGTCTGGCCCTGTATGTTTCTCCATCGAACAGGCAAGTAACACTGTACATGTACCTCTAGTAATAGGAGGTTTTCCATTTTTGAAGAATCGTATGTTGATGATAATAGGAAATAAATTAGGGGCATGCAGTTTTAAATTATCTAGTATACACTCCTTTCTAAACAGCCATTTTCAATTGTACTAGCAGAAATTTAATCCTAGTAAATAGCCATTTTCTATCATACTAGTCGAAATAACAAACATAGTAAAATCACCAGTACATATAGATTGTGCTGCCCTCATTTTCCTTTCTTGTTTCTGTTTAATGGCGGTTATTTGTTGCTTTTCTTGCTAAACATTTGACTTGGCTGCGCTAACTTGGTCTTTTATTTGAATCAACAGGTCTTCCGTGTGGTCTGTGATGAAATTACAGAAACAGGGCTTCTTGACATGTTGAGAGTTGTGAAGATAGATTTGAAAGGTTCTCGTCGCCAGTCAGGTAGTGATGATGATGAAGATGATGCATGTGTTGACATTGAAGATGATGATGAAACCATTGTGGAGGACGCGGAGGTTGGGGACACTGATTCTACTGCAGACGGACTGGATGAGGAAATGGATGATGATTCAGCTGATGAAGTAGATGAAGGTCAAGATGATTTGAAAGAATCAGTTG